ATTTTAATTAATCTTTAATGTGCAGTGTGCATGGGAATTCATTCATATTTTTTTCATAGTATAGTCCGGCCCCCCAACAGTCTGAACTGGCCCCCTGTTTAAAAGGTTTGAGGACCCCTGCTCTACCTCTTTTCTCAGTGGAATGGCCTCCCTTCATCTCTGCTTGGGGCAGCTGTGGTCCCCGCAAATCTGCTGAGCCAGTGTGCTTTGATTCTCTACAGTGCATTAAACACGTGTTCCATTAGACATGTCTGCTGACCAGCCAGCGGCTACTGCAAGATGTGCCTGCTTTTGTTGTTCTGCTAGGCAGGCTATTCAGGGTGGGTAAAGGGGGGAGGTGCTGCATCCCCTCCCTGTGCCATCCACACTTTCTCCACCAGTGTAACTATATCAGGAGGAAAGGGAATGTCAAACCCTCCTGGCTCCATTGCCTCCATATGCAGGATCACACCCAAAAGGAACGCTGAAGTCTTTATTGGAGATTGAGAAAGTACAGGCAGCAGCTGTGCTCAAGGCACTTTAACAAAGGAGAAAAGGAGGCTCCACTTCAACAGAAGCATTCCTCACCTTACACAGGGGCAGGAACATCTACTTCCCATAGCCAGGCAGTGCTCAGGTGGGATCGCCAGGGACTTCGAGGCCAGGGACCTTAAGGCTCTCATCTATCTTACCGGTCCAGGGATTTGGACCAGGCAGGGATAGGAGGGTCTCCAAGGTGAACGACTGGCTCAGGGTGTGGTGCCAGAAGGAACGCTGTGGGTTCCTCAGCCACAGCACCCAGTTTTTTGCCAAAGGACTTCTGGCAAGGAACGGGTTGCACCTCACGAGGATGGGGAAAAGGTCCATTGGAGATGCTCTAGCGAGCTTTGTCCAGAAAGCTTTAAACTGAGCCGGGGGGGTGGGTGGGTTCAGGTCCCCCAGAAACTTGTCTGCACTGGACAAGTGTGGGGAGAGGATCAGGGCTCTGGGACCAGGGTGATAGAGGTACCACAGGGACTGACAGGACTCCTATGAAGGGAGGGCTGGTATCAGGGAAGATGGGAGAAAGAAGGAGGCCGGGGATTCCAAGAAAGAAAGCTGTGGGAAGGAGTTGAGGTGCATGTACACCAATGCTAGGAGCATGGGTAATAAGCAGGAAGAGCTTGAAGCTTTCCTGGGAATAGAGGGGATGACCTGGTGGGTATCACGGAAACTGGTGGGATGAAAGGCAAGACTGGAATGTAAACACAGAGGGGTATCACCTATTTAGAAGGGACAGGACAGGAAAGATGGGTGTGGGGCGTAGATTTATGTCAGGGAAGGGATAGGATGCAGTGAGATAGAATGCAGCGCAGATGGGGATGCGGTAGAGGCAGACTGGGTGAAACGTAGGGGTTTTGACAGGGAGAGGAGCCTGACAGCGGGGGTAAGTTTTCACCCTCCAGGTCAACTTGAGACCCTGGATGATGCCCTGGCAGATCAGATTCTAAGGATATCTCAGGGGAGGGACACAGTAATTATGCGGGATTTCAATCTCCCAGATATTAGTTGGGAGACTCACTCAGTGGTGACAGCCAGGTTGCGTTGCTTCCTAGACACTATAGAGGGAGGGTTTTTCACGCAGAGAGTCCGAGAGGCGATGGGGGTGGTGGGACATCCTTGACTTGGTCTTGACCAAAAGGGAGGAGCTAATAGATGAGGTACAGATTAGGGAAGCTCTGGATGCGAGTGATCACTCCATCCTTTGCTTTGAAATCAAGGGAATGGGAATGTGCAGCACGTCGAGTACTAGAAGCTGGGACTTCAAGAGGGCCAGCTTTGGCCAATTGAAGGCCAGACTGGGGAAAGTCTCCTAAGAGAACATACTGGAAGGCAAGGGAGTTGAGGAGGGGTGGGTGGCACTCAAAAGGGAGGGTTTGGAGGTGCAAGCCTTGACGATACCTCTAGTAAGTAAGGCGGGAAGGCGAAGGAGAGTGCCGCCATGGATGCAAAAGGAGGTGGTTAGAGGGATTAGATGCAAGAGGAACCTCCGTAGGAAATGGGTACTGGGGCAAATAGACAAAAGGGTATACTGGGAGGAGGAGGCCTGTTGCAGAAGGATTCTTCACAAGGCTAAGGCTGATTACAAGCTGAGACTTACAAAGAATATCAAGGCAATATTTCTGAGGCAAATTATATGGAGGTGTTTCACTTTGCCACCTCCGTATATCCACCTTCCATTCCGTGTGGACTAAAGGATTGTAACTGTTACAGCAAAGTAGACCAAATCACAGAGTGGGGACACACTGAAACAGGGTCCCTTCTGCTCTCAGAAAGAACACCCCTGCGAGACCTTCCCCCATTATACTCTGATGGACTTGGCCAAAATAAAGGAAATGTCCGGAGGTTTCTTCAGGCAGCCTCAACAGCCTACCTGCACTTTTTCAGACTGCTCAAACCTTCATAGCTTTCCTCCCCAGGAGCAAGCGTCTTTTAATTTCTTGGCTGCAGTCCCCGTCTGTGGTGAACTTGGAGCCCAGGAAAATAAAATCTGTCACTGCCTCCATTTTGTCCCCATCTGTTTGCCAGGAATTGATAGGACCAGATGCCATGATCTTAGTTTTCTTAATGCTGAGTTTCAAGCCAAGTTTTGTGCTCTCTTCATTCACCCGCATCAAGAGGCTCTTTTAGCTCCTCTTCACTTTCTGTCATTAGAGTGGTGTAATCTCCATAACTGAGGTTGTTGATATTTCTCCCAGGAATCTTAATTCCAACTTGTGATCCATCTAGCCCCGCCTTTCTCATGATGTGCTCTGCATATAAAATAGGCAGGGGAACAATATACAGCCTTGCTGTACTCCTTTCCCAATTTTGAACCAATCAGTGGTTCCATGTCCAGTTCCCACTGTTGCTTCCTGACCCGCATACAGGTTCCTCAAGAAACAAATAAGATGGTCTGGTACTCCCATCTCTTTAAGAACTTCCCACAGTTGGTTGTGATCCACACAATCAAAGGCTTTAACATAGTCAATGGAGCAGAAGTAGATGTTTTTCTGGAATGCCCTAGCTTCCTCCATGATCCACTGTATCAGGAAAGTGGGAAGCACAGAACACATGCACATTTTCAAAGCTCTTATTGGGAATATAGAGTTGACATAGATATTTCTTCTCTCCCCCCCCCCCCCCCCCGGGGGGGAGTATAACCCAAGGGGGGGGGGGGGGGAGGATCAATTGGAGGCGGGAATTGTTGGGGAGTCACACCCCGGGGGGAGGGGTCATTGAGGGGGGAACCCCCCCAAAGGGCCCCCCCCCCCCGGCCCTTGAGGAGGTGGACCCGGTGGCCAGCTGCCAGCACCAAAGTGAAGTCCAGTTAGGGCCACAACAGGAGGAGTTCCACAAGATCAATTGTGATATATTTTATTTTATTTAAAACTTTTTTAGGCTGTCCCTTACCCTTGTTTCAGGACAGTTTAACAATATAAAACAAAACAAAACACAGCATCCTAATAAAAATCTTAATCAATCAACAATAAAACTCATTTTAAAAACAGGCAAACCTTAAAATATTGGGGGGGGAAAAGGTTTTAGCCTGGCGCCAAAAAGAATAAAGTGACGGTGCCAGGCAAACCTCTGGGGAGCGTATTCCACAATCGGGGTGCCACTTCAGAGAAGGCTTCTCGGGGTAGTCACCCTCCTACTCTCTTTCAGGGACAGCTCCCAGAGAAGGGCTGCTGGCCAGATCTTGAGGGGCGGGCAGGCACATGTGAGAGGAATTGCTCCTTCAGGTAACCAGGTCCAGTTTAGGGCTTCACAGGTCATCACCAGCATCTTAAATTGGGCCCGGACTTCAACTGGTAGCCAGTGCAGGTGGTAAAGGACCGGCATTATATGTTCATTTGGACTACAAGTCCCATCATTTCTGACCACTGGCCACACTGATGGGAGTTGAAATCCAAAGACCAGGCCGTAAAAGTCTGGTCAAAGGCCACTACTGCCTAAAATCAATAGCTAACCATCAAGTGCGAGCAAGAGGAACTCCGCACTACGATTTCCAGAAAGTCGGCTGGTTCCGGGATTCGTCCAAGAGCAGCTCCGGCAGCGCCTTTCCCTCCTCCAGCCTCTATGTGCCGTCGCGCAGCAGCAGGTCCCAGGAGCGAGCGCGGGGCTTCAGCGAAGGCACGTCCCTCTTCAGCCATTGTGAGGAAGTGCGCCATTCACGGCGCCCCAGCAGCTGCCGCGGCCGCAGGAGGAAACAGTGCTGCTGCTGCTCCCTCCGCCGCTCGCTGCCCCCTGCCCTCTGCCTTTGCCACGCCGACCTGGCCGGGCTGGGCACTGCTTGCTTTGCATCGCCACCACATGGCGCCAACTCGCCGTCCGACCCCGTCTTCACTCCTGCGCCTCGTTCGCTTCAGGGCTCCCGCCCGAAGGACTGCCTAGCCCGGTAGCTGTTGTAACCCCCCTCTTCATCGAACATGCAGCTAGGGCATGGCTCGTCACAGGTAAGAAGCATGATCAGAGTGTCCTGTTCGCGTAAGAACAAGAACCCCAACGAATGTGCACGCTACGCAAGGCTGACCACAAAGCAGCCTTTGTTGCTA